GTGGATGGCTGGCAGGGATTCCAGTGTTGCCCCTGCCACGTGAGTATTGTGATGCCTCTCCAGGCGCCTGCTTTTGGTAGATTTTTTTGAATTTCATTTTTGTTTAGCTTCGGCTCTTTCATGTTTGAAGGTTTCCTTTTTTTGCTATTATTTTTTAAAAAAAAATGTTTCGGCTTTTTTCAACATTTACGAAGCTTGCCTTTTTCTCATGTTGTTTTTGCTTTTTTTTTATTGTCATCATTGGTAGAGGGGTACCATCCCATGATGCTGTTATTTGCTGAATCTTTATTGATGAGCATTATTTTGGAAGCCACTCCTGGCTTTGATTAGGGAGCCATTTTTGTTCTTGGCATTCTCTTAGATCATCCTTCATTCAGTTGAGGAGTAGGGCGCGATGGCCTCTTCATGCTTATTGGCTTGCTTATTCGGTCGACTCTGGTTCTATCCCATCTTGCTGTTGATGTGTTTTTTTCTTGGTGGTTATATGAAACCACTTGTATGGAATGCCCTTGTTGGGGCTATGCTTTTTGACATGATCTCGGATTTTAAGGCACTGTATAGTTGTTGATCTTTTTTACGAGTGCTTCAACCTCTTGATTCCCCCAGCAAGTGATGGGTAGACACATACAAAGAATGCAAGAATGCAAAAGAAAATGCAAAGCAGAAATGGATTGGATTTTTTTTTCTTTGTGAACTTATACCTTTTTGTGCACACTTGTGTCATATGCATGTTATGCAATGATGCTTCTATGCTAATGCTTACAATGAAAATTTATTTTTCTACTTTCAAGAAATTAATCTATGCGCATTGATCAATGACATGGATTGTTAGCCTTTAACCTTGTCGAATTTAGTGTTGCTTCTTGAACCTAAGGTTTGTGTAGTTCAGCCCTCTCGCTTGTACCGGATATGATATGTTAGCCCTTAGATTAGGTGTACAAAGGTTTGTGTACAATTTTATTCAAACAAGTGCGCAATTTAAATAAGCAAACAAATAGATATTAAAGCCAAACAAATAAAACAAATAAAGTAAAGGGGAAAAAATTTAAATTTTTTTTATTTATTAACTTCATCAATTAAATGGGCCTGACCCTCTTTAAACGTCCCCAGCGGAGTCGCCATCTGTCGCAACCCGAAAATTTCCGATCTCGCGACCTATGGTTTAGACATCCTTTTAAAAGTCTCATTAATTAAGGAATGCTCGGACACCAGACTAATCCTTAATTAATGGTTTTGAAAATAGGTTCATGGAGTCGCCACCAATATTTTACTCAAAACATTGGAAAAAGAAAAGGTTTTTAAAGATCCAATAATGGCCTTGATAACCAGAATTGGGTTCGGGGGTCGGTTACATGTATGGAAGGTATTAAGCACCCCTACAACGCCCTCAATCGGTACCCTATAATGAAGTTAACATGATAAGAATTAATAAATTAAATATTGAATCCCCTTTATTAATATTTATTTACATATTGAAAATTTAAATTATACGACTAACCCTAAAATATTTACATGATTGCGTTTGCTATAAATAAAAATAGAGATAAAGAGAAGAAATAAAAGATATAGAAAAAGATTGATTGAAATACCTCTTGAACGAGCTCTATTGAATCTTCAAATATGGAGAAGGTGCTTTATGGCAACCTTTCACACTACAATATGCCTCACAAATCTCAAGATATACAGTAGGAGAGAAAGAGAGAGAAATTTCGTGCTCTAAGGAGTGCTGGACGAAATTTTTGGGGTCCTGAGAACTGTGGCCGGGATTTCTATTTATAGGCATCAGATGTGGGCCGGAACGGCCCGTTCCAAATCTGAACGTTATGTATTATTTTGTACCCTAGAACGTCCCATTCTGAAATCAGGACGACCCGTTTCGGAGAACCAGAACGACCCGTTCTGGGGTACAGATTTTAGGCCATTTGTTTGGTTTGGAACGGCCCGTTCTGGTCTAAACGGCCCGTTCCAACCAACAATTTTTAGGCCTTTGAGCAGCCTCGGAACGGCCCGTTCTGATTTTGGAACGGCCCGTTCCGGGCCACTAAAAAGGTTAATTTAGGCTTTTGGGCCCTCTAATTTCCTATCTTGTTGTTTTTTTGCCCCCCGGACGAAATTGGGTGTCTACATGCCTTAGCAAAGCCCCTCTTATGCTCGATCACCACGGCACGCTCGGTCTCAAGAAGCCTCTCCTCCACTTCTTTCTTCGAAGAAGCCAGCACCTCGAGGTCCACCTTCAAGGCACTAATCTCCTCCCCTCGGCCAACAAGATGCACTTCATCACAAATATGCTTCTCCTTGGCTGCCCGCAATTTAACCCTCAAGGTGACATTCTTCTCTTCCAGCGCTCGAGCTCGACCTTGGGCAACCTCCACCTCGCCATTAGCGAACTTGGAAGCATCCACTAACTCGCCAACCTTGGCGGCGTATGCCTTGTAGACACCCAATTTTGTCCGGGGGCACACAAACAAGGAAATGAACCTCCATTATGAATGGAAGGAGCTTCTGAAGCAGGAAAACAACAAGACAGGACATCAGGAGGCCTAAAGGCCAAGTAAGGTGGTTTTAGTAGCTCAGAACGGGCCGTTCCAAACCCCGGAATGGGATGTCCAATGTGACTAAAACACCTAAAAAGTCCTAGGCTGGAACGGGTTGTTCCAATACCAGAACGGCCCGTTCTGGAAAGAGCAACTTTGTGTTAATTTCCACTTTAGAACGGGCTGTTCCATTTTCAGAATGGGCCATTCCAGGGTGCGTAATTTGCACATAACGATTGGCCTAGAACGGGCCGTTCTGAATCTGGAACGGGCTGTTCTGGCCCTCTTCTGATTTCTATAAATAGAAGCCTCGGGCACAGTTCTCAGGGAAGTTAGAGAAATTTTGAATAAGACTCCTTTGAGCATGAAAATTCTCTATATCTCAACCCTCTATTGTATTTCTTGAGATCTGTGAGGTATACTTTAGTGTGAAAGGTCGCCACAAAGCAGCTTCTCCATATTTGAAGATTCAAAAGAGCTCGTTCAAGAGACATTTCAATCAATCTTCTTCTATATCTTTTATTTCTCATCTTTATATCCTTTTTTTGTTATAATAAACGTCATAATATAGATATTTTAGGGTTAATCGCTTAATTTATATTTTAAGCATGTAAATAAACATTAATAAAGGGGATTCAATATTTATTTTATTAATTCTTATCATGTTAATTTCATCATTGGGTACCGATTTAGGGCGTTGTAGGGGTGCTTAATACCTTCTCTACATGTAATTGACCCCCAAATCCAATTCTGGTTATCAAGGCCATTACTGGACTTTAAAAACCTTTTGTTTTTTTCAATGTTTTGAGTAAAACATTGGTGGCGACTTCATTAACCTATTTTCAAAACCATTGATTAAGGATTAGTCTGGGGTCCAGGGATTCTTTAATTGATGAGATCTTTAAAAGGATGTCTAAACCATAGGTCGCGAGATCGAAAATTTTCGGGTTGTGACAGATGGCAACTCTGCTAGGGACATTTAAAGAGGGTCAGGCCCATTTAATTGATGAAGTTAATAAAATAAAAATATTAATTTAAATATTTTTCCCCTTTACTTTGTTTGCTTTATTTATTTGGCTTTAGTACCTGTTTGCCTGTTTAAATTTCTGCATATGTTTGAAATAAATTGCACACAACAGTTCCCCCTACACCCGGGGGCATGAGGGTATTAAACATAGGGAGTGGTTGACGTACGACTGGCCCAAGTTTGGCCTTGGAGCCTGCGAGCCTTGTCGGAAATCACACTCAAGGTGATAACCGGTTACTCTAGCCCAAAATATTGCGACAGACCTTAGAGTTTGCCAGGTGACGGTGACAGAGATACTGGGTCCCTATAATAGGGGCACCTTGGGGGCCTTAAGACTAGTGAGATTAGAACTGTCCTATACAATGCACTTTTCTTGCAGGGGCCGCAGACCAAGGATTTAAACGTGACTATTCGCGAGTGTATGTTGATTGAGCATGTATGTGTGCATTTGTTTGCATTATTTTTTCTAATAAGAGTGGATTAATTTTTTAAAAGAAGCAAACTGATAATAAAAATATAAAAAAATAGAGAAATTTATACTCCTTTTGTACATTCTTAGGTCATCATATAAGTAGTTTCCTTTCCAAAAAAAAATATATGTATAATACCTTTAAAAAATATATGTGTATTCGTATCATGCATCATATCTCATAGTTAATGAAAACATGATAAAGTTTAGGCAAAAACAAAAATGGCATGTTCACAAGGGCTAAAGCGAGTATTTACAAACCAAAGTCATATACAGCTGCTGCTTCATCAAAAACATATGATCACACTATTGAACCTACATCAGTAAAGGAGACACTCTCTAAACCGGAATGGTATAGAGCTATGCAAGATGAGTATCTTGCACTACAGAAAAATGATCAATGAGACTGATATTTATTATTCTCAACTTTCTCTTCATTCTGCATTGCATTCACTTAGAACATATCCTTCTTGAAAAAAAAAAGAATAAATGAGAATAAAAAGAGAAATCAACCTATGTGTGTTAATCGGAAGTAATGTGTTAGTCACTTAGCCTCAATTAACTTAAGAGGGGGGGTGAATTAAGTTTTCTAAATTTCCTCTAATAGAAAATTTTCCAATTACTTTCTTATCAAATTTAATTCCTTTGATAAATTTATGTGTAAAGAATGAATGATCATGTGCTTGGAACATCCACTATCAATGTACCAAGTTTGGTCTTTGGAATCCTTCAAGACAAAGAATGGATTGATTTTGGTACCCAAGTTTTCTTTGGGTCCTTAATGTTAGTTTTAACTAAAGAATCTTTTGGAATCCAAATCATGTTCTTAAGATTGCTAATGTTCTTTCTAAAATAGCATGTTGATACACTATGACCTTTCTTACCACAATAATAGGTATCCCATACTTCTGATGGAGGCTTATTTCTTTCTCAAAAACAGTATATTAAAGATTTACTTCATAGAGCCAAGATGGATGATTCTAAACCACAACCTACACCTATGACTTCTGGTCTAAAACTCACTGCCAATGGCTCTACATCTATCCCCGACCCCTCCTTTTATAGATCAATTGTAGGTGGCCTCCAATACATCACCATCACCAGACCAGAATTTTCCTTTTCCATTAATAAAGTCTGTCAATTTATGCATAATCCTCAAGAACATCATTGGAAGGCTGTGAAACGGATACTGAGATACCTACAAGGGACTGTCACTCATGGTCTTCACTTCAGAAGACCAACTAATCTGACCTTAATGGCCTTCTCGGATTCCGATTGGGGTTCTGACTTGGATGATCGAAAGTCTACAACTGGATACTGTGTGTACTTTGGGAACAATCTTGTGTCTTGGTCATCACGAAAGCAACGTGCTGTCTCTAGGAGTAGTACCGAAGCTAAGTATCGGGGTTTAGCTGCTATTACTACTGAAGTTGTATAGATCCAATCACTTCTTAGTGAACTTCAAGTGAATACTGCTACTTCAACAATCTACTGCAACAATCTTGGTGCTGTGATGTTAGCTGCTAACCCCATTATGCACTCCCGAACTAAACATTTTGAACTTGATCTATACTTTGTAAGAGATAAGGTGCTTACTAGAGCCATTCAGGTTTTTCATCTACCATCACAATTTCAGGTTGCAGACATTCTTACAAAGTCCATCACTGGCCCTCCATTTGAGAGTTTTTGACGCAAACTTATGGTCACTTCATCATGTGACATAAGTTTGAGGGGGATGTTAAGGATAATAAAGTTAGTTAGATTAAAACTAATTCTGTTATGATAAAATCATTTGTTTAGCTATGATTAGTTATCTTAGCTGTCATTGTTTATGATAAGATTATTCTGTTACGTGTAGCTTATATAAGGTCTTTAAATCATTCTCTGTAATTCATGTTGATGATAATAATTCAATATATCTTTCAGCATCTATTTCATTCCTTTGTTTATCTTTACAAGGGAGGAACCAACGTCAAATTAGGATTACACTGATAGGAGCGACTCACTCTTAATCATTTTGGGCCTAATGCTAGCAAAATTGGTTAAAATTAGTTTAATTAATTCTCAAGTAATTCTTTCTTTTCTTGTTATAAGACACTTTAGAAGAAAAAAAAATAATCGTTTTTATAAAATATTTTATAGTTTTTAAAAAATATTAAATTATTCTTTTCCTTATTAAAAGTTATCAAAATGAGAGTTTCTCTCTTATTTCTTAAAGTTTCTCTAATTGATATTTATTATTCTTATTGATATTGATGCATAAACTTTTATATATATTTTCATTTCTCTTAAAAATTTATTAATAAATAAGAAAAAAAATTGGTAAATCATGATTCGGTTAAAAATGTCTTATTATAAAAATCAAAGATAATATATTAAAATGGTTAAAAAATTCACCAAAATAAATAAATCAATTAAAAACTACCAAGCACATGGATTTAACTTGACCAGTAGTCTCAAGTTGGAGTCTTAGTATGCAACTGCATAAAATTCTCGGAGGGAGAGTTTTATCGTCCATAATGGTCCAACTGAATTTGAACAAGATTGTCTCACGTAAAGGGTACATATAGTCTATTTAAAAAAAAATTGGTTAAAAATTAATTTTACATAATTAACTAATCATATATTATCATTGATATGAATTTTAGTGCTTCACCTATTTTCCCTAATTTTAATCATTTAATTTTTTTAATTAGTCCAAACTATTTTTTTTATTAATCAAAATTACAATGACGACGAAAAAATTTGAACCTTAAACTTTGAACATACTATCTCATTCTCTACCAACAAGTCGATCTCGTAACATTCTAATTTTTTTTTAAATTATTAAAATAATATTTTAATTAATTAAATAGATTTATAAGTATATTATATGTTTTTTTTATATAATTATAAGTATTTTTATTAATTAAAGAAAGATTTGTGAAATTATTTGTATTATTAATTATTAGAGATAAATATATATTTTATATGTTTTAACATATGTTGATTACATATGTTATTGTTTTGAATAATTGAGGGATTTTATAGATAAGAATGTTTTTAGAGAAGGAAAATAAACAATTTAAAATTGTTTTATTTGAAAAGATATTATTTTATGTATTTATATATAAGAGTTTTAAATAATTAATTGAGGTTATTTTAATAATGAGATTTATTGATAAAAAAAAATTATTTTCTAGTTTAATTAGTATAGATGATTGTTTGAAATTCAAGAAAAGAATAATTGATGCTTATGTAAGAGTTAGGGTTTAGTGTTCTTTATTTATAGATTAGCAATCTAGGATTGTCTTTCATGATTAATATGCATTTTCGTGTCCTGAGAGTGACTCATCATTGAAAAAAAATATTAGCAAAACATGAGTAAGAAGAGAGAAAAATGATTGTCCAATTCATATATCCATAAGGTAGCAATTTTCAAATTGCAATCGGGAATTCTTTCATCATTGGATCAAGCTGATTTTTGAATAACGAGATCCCAAGATGTTATTATTGATTTTCCACAATTGGATCATCTAAAGAATGTCTATAGTAGGATAAAATTGTTTCCCAATAAAATCTCTATTTTTAGGAGTTTTCATCTTCTTTCTTCTCATTGAGGGGGGAGAACCAGAGATAGCTGGAGACAATCTCGGAGATCCACATTTGAAGTGAGTAAGAATCTCACTTTGAGTGTGTGTTATCTGTAAAGTAGTAAGATTGATCTCAATCTTGTGTTTATGTTTGAATGCTTGAGGGATTACCCAATTGCATGTGATTGTACTATGAATTTGTCATTCCCTTACCTTCTAATTGTGTTGTTATGATATAATTATGTTTATGATTTGTGATAAATCATTTTTTATTGATTTAAAACAAGAAGTTTGTTTCATTGTATTCATTTACATGAAACTATTGAATGAAACTAAGATTTGAACAAAAAGAGTCTTATTCATAGTAAAAATTATTTGAAAAGAAGTCTAAGGAACAATAAAAAAAATTTTAAAAATAATTTCAACTTATTTTTTAGTTGTTTATGTGATATTTTTCCATATGATTTACACTTTGTTTATTACTCTTTTGATGAATTTTATAGTTTTCATACAGGTGAATTTAATGAAACAAATTTTACATTTTAAATCAGTTAAATAAAAATTCAAAATTATGTCGCAAAATTAAAAATAATCATTATCTTAAATCAAGTCGATCGATCCAAATTTAGAAAATGAATGACCAATCAATCCTTTTTCTTTCTTCTTTTGCTTTCCCTGCAAAACTCTTCTTGGAAATGGATTGCTTGACTTTAAACTAAACAATCAAGAAATTATCTTCCCACGCCTGCTTAAAACTAGGGACATGGTTATAGTAGTCTCTGTTCACTCATGCTTGCTGCTTAAGACTATATTTTCCCTCTACATCTAAAAGATAGAAGTAGTTTGACAGCGAGAAAGAGCTTGAAGAAGAAAGAAGTACCATTGGCAAAGTTGCTTCCTCCAGTCTTTGTATGTATGGGATGTACTCGAGAAAGAGACAAATCGTGTCTCAAAATTAAAAATGATTATTATTTCAAAAGGATCAAATAAATTATAATTTAAAAGATAAATGACCAAAATGAACACATCTTTTGTAAATATTATTTTATTCGTAAGATAAATGATCGAAATGAATATTCAAAATCATATCTTATTTTTTATTTTATTCATAAGATAATTTTTTATAAAATTGACAAATATTATATAGGTGAATATTTCTTTTTAACTTAAATTTTTTTACATTCATAATAGATAGGATTCAATTCTTGGTCACTTGATTCCATCACCACTCATGTCAATTCAACATTATTACATCTATCATTTTTATTTTAATTTAAAATTTTTCTTTTCCTTTTAAATCCCTTTTCCATCTACTACACCAATTAGCATTAGAGATCAGTGGAAACTATCAATATATCATTATAGTTTTCACTAATCCATAATAGTAGCGAACATCCACTAAATATTCCTAACATGAAAGAATGTTAGGTTTGTAACTTAAGAGAACATTTATAGAACAAATTCTCATCCAATAAATAGATGAAATAAAAAAAAATTCTTCCTAATTAAGAATGAGTCACTAGAAGCATTAAAAAATATAATACAAACATAATGACAAAAAAAACAAAATTTATTAAAAATCCCAAATAAAATATTCATGGGTTATGCTGAAATCTTCCTTATCGATCAACAAAATTGGGTTTAACTAAACAAAGAAAAACTAAAATCAACAACATAAAAAGGAAAAAGGATATAGAACACATGGACAGTTGAAGGCGTGAACTTCAGTCCTAATCACCCTTCTTGTACTCTATGAACTCATTTAGGATCACTTCTAATTCGATACTTATGTTCCTTAATTAAAATTTAAGATTTGATTCATGAATTAGACATCGGGAAAATTCATGACAAAAACTCCGGAATGTAAAATATATAGAAATTGATTTCCTGGTCCTCTTTTTCTTCCTTTTTATTCATGAGTCTAGGTTCTACTGCCGATTCAGGTCCAAAACTCCTTTCAGTCTTCCCTTGACTTCCTAAAAATATGAACATCAGAAAATAAATAAATAAATAATACTAAAAATTTTAGAAGGAAAAAAAAAAAAAAGCAAATAGCATTTTTCATTATAAATTAAAAAAAATATTTAATAATAAAATGAATTAAAGTTTATAAAAATTGTCTTGAATTTCCTAACAGTAATAGTAATAGGAAAAATTAGATAATCCAAGAGATTATCAAGAATATATTGACCTTGGTTTGAATTAGAAAATATTGTAAATTTAACCGGTTTGAACTTAACCGGGTCAACTCCAACAAATCAAGTTTCCCCCAACCATTTTGTCTGTGTTTCACTGATATTCTCTCATATAATACTATTTGGTTGTTGATTTGTAATTGTTGTATCTTTTAATGAATCATATCTCTACGCCTCAAAATAAAATGTTGATCTAAGTATAGTCTCTAATTGGTGATGAATAACTTTAACGGGTATTGGTTGTTAATATTGGTTGGTTAAAGTATAGCAGACTAAAATCAGCTGAAGAGGTTTGTTAATTGATGAAGTAAGCTTTTGAAAAGTAAATAAAATATAATTTAAGTTGGTCAGAAGGATTTTAGTCTTCACTATCCCAAAGAAGCTATGGAAGAGTCTCTTCTCGCTAGCCTATAAGAGCCCCTCTTCCTCAATAGTAATTTATAGGTGCATGAGGGTTCAGTTGCCTAAATACCTGCATTTGCATGTCAGGAAAACCCTGAGTCACTGGAGGATTGTAGGGTGCAGCTTGTTGGTGCGTGAGTTCTTGACTTCTCTGCGTTAGGCAACTGCTGTTTTTGAAGTCTGATGAAGTGTGTGACTCATTAGAAAAGTTTTCAGCTAGTGAAGGCAAAATACTTGACCTTGAGAGGTTCTTACTTGGAACTGGCACTTCTTGCATTGGTTGAGGCAAAGGAAAGAGTCTCAAGGGATTCAGGCTAGACATAGACTCTGCTGGCCATGGCTGGTGGTGATGTTGATTATACATAAGAGACTGTTCTCTAAGGTAATTACTAGTCATGTCAACCTTTGTGTCTTCTGGCCTTGGCAGATTCGCCAGAGACTCTCTGAGGTTATTGTTTGGCATGTAAGATGTGAGGTGTTCTATCCTTGATTGAGGTGCAAGAGTCAGATCTGAGAGGTTAACAAAATCTTCTGGCCGTGGCTGATGCACCAATGACTTTGTGAGGTTATTGCTTGGCATGCAAGACATGAAGTTTTCTGGCCTTGATCGAGGTGCAGGAGTCAGATTTGAGAGGTTAACAAAATCTTCTGGTCGTGGCTGATGCACCAATGACTCTGGGAGGTTATTTCTTGGCATGCAAGACATGAAGTTTTCTGGCCTTGAATGAGATAACCCTGAAAGTCTATTTCTGTTGCCTGAATTCAATGGCCGAGGTTGAGGCCCTGAGATCACGCGTGTAGGATAAACACGTGCAAACACATTGCTGGAGCTTCCAGTGGCTAACATGTTTGGTATTCTAGCAGAGGTATTCCACTGGCTTGTGTTACTGGTCTTGTTAACTCCTAGCTGTAGTTTGTGATCATGTTCATGAACAGGTGCAAAAGGAGAAGACACATTCTGAAGTGGGGAAATCTTTTTGTCCTTTGAGAGATCCAAAAAGTTCATGGTTCCTCTCGCATTAGAGCTCTCAATTCCACTAGAACTTCCACTTTTGTCGTTGTTAAAAAAGAAGTTGCTAAAAAGAGCAGCAGCACGAGCATGCCAGCTGTCATTTGTGGAGATCCTGTTTCCCTGATAAGAACCATCCCTGATGTTAACACTGCCAGCATTAGTGGTGTTGACAATTCTTTTTTCCTGAGCTGCAGAACCAGGAATAGTGAGTGGCCTATTCAGAAAGGGAAGGGCAAGTGCCAGTGTCTGAGCATCGAAAGTGTCGTCTTGTGTTGGTGTTTGTGGAGTTGGCTGATGAATAATCTGAGTGCTTGAAACATTTTCATCATTGCAAAGTTGCTGATCCTTAAATGCTTCTAGTTTTTTGGTTGCAACCCTTTGAGCAATAGGTCCCAAATCCTCAACAAATCGCAGCAGACTTTCTTTGTACTTAATTGGATTTTTGTTCAACTGCAATAACATCAAACATTATTAATAGCCATAGCTTTTATAACACAATCTGAAATTGAAATTCTTGGTATGTGGTGAAGAATTGAAATAAACAGCTACATGGAAGTAGTATTAATTGAAAAGTTATCTGGATGCAGTATAAGGAGTTAAGAATGCACTATCATGTTTCTCTTTCAAATTTGTAACCAACACCAAAAGAAATCTTATGTACAGAATGTAAGATCCACTAGTCAGGAATTTTTATGTGCAAATGTGACCTCTTATGATGTACTACTTTTTCCATGTTCGATGTGTGCATTACACTCTTTCAAACTATTATTCATTTATTATCAGCTTGTAATGTGTTTATAGATCGCCAACTTATATAATTGTTTGGGAGAAAAACATAACTTACTTGAATGATATGCTTGTTAGTATATAGTACTTTTGAAGCCAGTGGCTTACTTGGAGGCCAATACATGTCCCTCTTTTCTGTTTCAGGTACCGTAACAGAACTAGACTTGTTTATCCCTGCATTAAAAGGAAAATACAGTTAGTTCTCTTATTCAAACGAAAAGAGAGAGAGAGAGAGAGAGAGAATAAATTAAAAGTTAAAGTTGTTTTGATTTACTAATTATTCTATACCAGCAGGTTTGGAAGAAACCCTCCGTGAGGTTCTCCGTTGCCTACTTTGTGGCTTTCTATCTGAGCGTCTCTTGTTGAGGGAAGATTCCAATTCAAAATGTTCAGGGTCAGCACTTAGAGCCTCAAAAATCCACTTAGCATGCCTACTAATATCTTTAGCCTGAAATAAATTATGTTCAACAAAGATTATTCAGCATTTTATAGTAAACAACTTGAATAGCTTAAAGCTTTCTATTTTAGTTGGTCATACCACTTGATGATATTTTGAGTTTTCTAGACTAGCATTCAATGCATTGGAGCATATCAGAAAGACATCACGCTGTACATCATTGAAATAGAATCAAACATCAGTTTGGCATTGAGGGAAAGTGTAACAAAACCATAACAAAGTTTGATGATTTTCAAACCTTGCACTGCTCAAGGTCTGTGTACATGCCCTCGTGAAGTTTGGCCCTCATGGTTCCGAAATCCATTGGCTGCTTCACAATTTCATAGTAATGCTCCACCTTTAATTCAGAGAAATTACTCAACATAACTAACAAAACTCAATGATCAAGCGGATAAGAAGTAATCAATTATTTAAAGGTAAACAACTAACCACACTGGGATTAACTGGTTCAGCGAATAGCTCAAGGGAGTCTTTCCTGCACACATTTAAACTTCTTCATAATATTATTTATTTATATATAGATATATTCCGATGAGAATTTTGTAATGTAACATTATGTATTTTGAGTCTGTTTGAATATAAGCTTAGAAGTACTTCTGAAAACTTTTCTATCAAAAAATACTTTTTATTTTTTATAGAGAAACTTTTAAAAATGTTTTTAACTTATATCCAAATAGACTCTTCGATTATTTTCATGCATAAAAAAATAATCACAAATGAATATGATTTTTACCTTTGTAGAAAATCAATGATCATTTCAAAGATCTGCTTTAGGGCCATACCATTCAGAGATGAGACTGCAAGTGAAAAGTACAACAATATTTACTATATAACTATACTCGGGGAGAATCATATGTAATGGCTAAGCTGTAACTTAAAAAATCCCATTAATTCAATATCTTGAGATAGTTATAAGCATACCATTTGTTCCTGAAGCACTTGCATCCTGAGATTGTCTTCCTAATTCCTGTATTGACTTTGAAGTGGCAGAAAAAGTCAATATACAAAGTAAATACAGAACATGTGGTTTTATCTATACCACTCATGCAACTATACAATTTTGACATTCAAGAAGATGCATTTGCATTTGCATTTAAGAAGTGACATTTATAAAATTGTTACTCTGTTTAATAAAGAATTTCAAAATGAAAATTATGGACACACCTTAATTGAAGAGATCAATTGATAAAGTTCTTTGCTCTTGCAACTCTTCTTGGTTGGACCCTCCTCATCCTCATTGTTATTAGAATCACTCATGTCATCATCGCATACCTCCATTGTTGCCTTGCCTTTTCCTTTGTTCCTAACGTCATTGTTCTTCCTTTCCAATGCTTGTGCTAGCTTCCTCTCTCTTTCTTGCTGCTTCTTCTCTTCCAAAGCAACAATTCTACTACTCTTTCTTCTTTCTGTACATTCTATTTCTTCTTCCAGTCTCATTCGTTTTTCTGTAGACCCTATACGTATCAAGACATGCATTTCAGATGCTACATTCTATATTGTACATTGTATTTAAGTCATTAATTTAAACATGTTTTTTCTTTATTGAAAATTTAGTCAGTTTTTCAATGTTCTATCAAGAAATGATGTGATGTAATTATTAATGTGATGTGTCAATGATTTATTTGTCACATCATCACTTAAATGAATAAAACTAATTATATTAGTGACAAAAAACACGATTTCAATAAGAAAATGATGTTCAGACACCCTATGCTATTTGACACCTATAGAAAGAGATGGAAGAGACATAAGTATAGATACAACAAATAATATAATGTGATATGGAGAGACAAATGATAACATTAATAGAGTATTTATAATGTAATTGTGTTTGTATATTATTTAATTTTTAATAAAATCACTACTCGAATGAAAAAAAAAATTGAGTAAAATTTGTTAAACTTTTAAGATTAAAAAAAAACATATTTAAACAATTTTTTAACTTATATTGTGAGGATAGAATATTATGTCTGAGGTTCATAGGTTCAAACATTGGGACAACTATTGTACACAAAAATACACATCCATAAGAAAATATTTTAAAGGTGTAAAATTACATGAGATAACTTTTTATTTTATTTTAATGAAGAGGTTATTGGACCTATTCCTATAAGAATATAATGGTATAAAATGCAATTTAGTCATGAAAAAATAGAAATAAAAATAATGACAAGCAGAGATGTTTCGAGTGTTAAATTAAGTAAAATAAAAACACAAAAAAAAAGGGGGGGCTTATGTTAAGCCAAAAGAATTTTAGGGAAATTTCTTAATTTCTTCTAAAAAATTATAGAATCCAACCATGAAAGCAAAAATTGCAAAGAATAAATTAAAGTAAATCAGCAGTGATGAAAAGCATCCATCTAAATTAGAAGTGTGAAACAAATAAAACGCATGCCTAACCCAAATTAGTACTTTTATGATGCAAATTAACTATAAATAATATTTGCATGAAGATTTGAAGGGAACTTCATACTACTAAGACACATTTGAGGTCAATTAAACTAAACATAATCGCTAAAAGATACACACGAAAATTAAGACAAATGAGATCAAGCACGTGCAGAGCAAAAGGCATGGTAAGATGAGTAGAAAAGGTAAACAACATATGAGGATGAAAAAAAGGTATGGTAATTAAAAAAATAATTTTTTATACATTATTAGTATAAATATTTTTATACCATATTATATCATAAGTTACGCTAAATATAATTTTTAAAGTACTCATTATAAAATACATATGTAACCTATGAGGATGAAAATATAAAAAATCTTAATATTCTCTAATTAAGTACATAAATAACTAAATAGGACAAAAAATGACTTGAACTAATTCAAAATCCATTTAATACTCATTAATTATTTTGATAAATTTAATTCATGATCTTAATAATGAGTTTAAATAAACTAAACTTGAACAAAGTACAATTTAATCATTTGATTTTTTTTATCAGGTTTAATCATTTAATTTATGTGAGAGACACAAATATTTTTGCAAAAATTTAAATTTAAAATCATTGATTAAGTTGAGAAAATCTCAATTCAAGTTTTTTATCTTTTTGTTACGGGAATCTTATTCATGGTGATCCACATTTTTAACTATGAATATGATTGATAATATTCATGTAAATTATTTTACACATAAATATCATTTGATTCATGTAATTTTGTTTTGTTTATGAAATTTGAATTCACATGTTAAAATTAAGTGGAATTGGAATTGAAGAAAATGATTTATAAAAATTTGAGCTAAAATCAAATCCTACAAATGTTTGGAGTAAGTCGAGTAATATTCAATTCAATCTAACTTATTTGTAACCTACAAATTGATGAAATGCACATTGTAATATTCGATTAAAAAAAATGGGAAATGAATAAAGAGTTTCTAACCTAAATATTTTGTGACTAATATTTAAAATGATAATTGCAACATTTCAATTAAATAACTAAGGATATGTAAGGAAAGACACAAGAATAAAGAGAGGTTAAGGTTTGCCAATTAATCTTAATCTAAGTTAGATCATGTAGGAAAATCTTGAAAGAAGACAAAATGAGAAGTCAACAAACATAATCATCAATGATGTCGTGGTTCACCAATATTAATAAAATAATAATGATAATTAAATAATATATAATAATAAATACAATATTATAAATTTATAATTTAAAAAATTAAAAATAAAATATTTTTTTATTATAAATTTTTAACATTAAAAGTATCGATAAAAGTTCAAATATAATATTTAAGTTTAAATATAATAAAATATAATAATATTCATTAATAATAACAAATTTATATTTTTAGTAAAATAATGTCAAATTAATATAATATAAAATTGAAAAATATCAAGATGTAAAAAATTATAAATTAATATAAATGATTAAATTATAAATTTATTAAAAAATTATTGATAAATAATTTATTTCAACTTATAATCTTTATTATATATGTATTTTATTCGTCATAAAAATACTTTAAATAAAATTAAAAAATACAAAAATGAATAGTACTAATTCAAATCAATTTTCCACACCCGTTGTTGACTAGTTTTCATTCGTTTTGAATTGGTTTGACCAATTTCTTGACCGATTCGTACCAACTCAAAAATGCATTAATTTTTTTTAGTTAATGAACCGATGACTAGGTGAGTGTTTGGAAATTCGTTCAAAACAAGTTAAATGGACATTTTCCACTTTCCGATGCAAAAAAGCTAAAAAAAATGATGTGTTACTTTTGAATTACGTTCAACGTAACTGAAAAACAAACACACCCTAAGTCGGTTCTTGTCAAATTCATCAAATATGTTGGTCTAGTCCAATTTTTAATATTATAATATTTACATAATACATGTTTTTTCCACAACAAGAATGATGTTTGAAGGGAATATAGATGTTATAAACAAGTCAAATCACATGCAAATCATGTAGAGGGGCAAAAATGAGAAGGAAAAGGAACAAAATTGGAAGTTTGAAAGGAACGTTAAAAGAATGTCTTTGGTTATATAATAAGAGTTAATTATCTATGCACTGTGAGTGTAAAAAAATTTTATACGGGTAGTCAATCAGAACCGTTAATAGTGCATTTTTATCTGCTCATTTAATTAAATTAAAATAAATTAAAAAAAGTACTATTAATGGTTCTGATTGACTGTTAATGTAAAAAACTTTACACTGGTAGTGTATAGGTGATTAACTCGTATAATAAATTAAGCAAACATAAATTATATATATATATATATGATATTCGTTCAAAGGAAATTTTTAGTGATCGCTAAAATTAACCTAGTGGTCTGGTAAGGAGGGTTAGGGTAATTAGAAGCATGAGGACCTAGTTTCAATCATCATGGCAACCATCATCGTAATATTTCCTATTTTTACAACAAAAAAAAAAAAATAGTGAAAAACTGCCTAGATGAAATTGAAGAAACGTACCCATATAGTGAGAGAACATCAACCTCTTAACCTGGATAAAAAGTTGAACATGGAAGCATAATTAGTATGTCGTGAACAACTAACCATTAATTTCCAAGTCACAAAAGAAAGGTGATCAGGTAATTGATCAAAGAGGGTAAGAAGAAGAAACCTCTTGTTTTAAAAGTTTAGGATTTTCAAGATTCACAAATCTCTAATTTTGCTCAAAATGGAAGAACTTTTATCATATTCAATTGATAACTTAAAGAGTCTTGAGATTCACAAAAGTGATTTTTATGTGATTAAAAGCAATGTTTTTAAAATTATATCAGATATTAAATTAGTCTAGACACTAGTTCAAGGTTCAATGATTTAGTCGTGGTTGAACGTGATTAAATTAGTATTAATAAATAATTATTATTATTATCAATAGAATAATAATATTAAATAAATATAATATCATAATTTTATAACACTAAAAATTATAATAAAATGTTATTTATAAATTTTTAACATTTATTATGATATAATATTTAAGTCTAAATTTTAATAAAATATAACAATATTTATTAATAATGATAACAAGTTACATTTAGAATAAAAAGTATCAAATTATAATATAATATAAATTTTTTAAAAAAGATATTAAATTAAAAATTAATATAAATAATTAAATTAAATTTAGAAGACAAGTATTAAAAATAAGTTATTCAAATTTATAACTTTTTAAATATGTATTTTATTAAAAATATTTTAAATTAAATTTAAAAAATACATATGTTTAATTGAACTGGTTCGACTAATTTTTTATTCATTTTACCAATTTTTCATTGATTTTACTAATTTTTGACCAATTTATTATCAAACGATTTTAAAAACCAACCGAACCAATTGAGGATCGATTTTCAATCAAATTAGTTCAATTGACCGATTCAGCCCAATTTTCAAAATATGATATTCATTCAAAGAAAATCTTTAATGAAAAACTGTCCATATGAAGTTGAAGAAACGTACCCATATAGTGAGAGAACATCAACCTTGGCCTGGGTAAAAAGTTGAACATGGAAGCATAATCAGGACACCATGAATAACTAACCACTAATTTCCAAGTTACAAAAGAAAGGTGAGGCAAAAAATTTACCAAAGTCATTGATCAAAGAGGGTAAAAGAAGAAACCTCTCGTTCTAAAATTTCAAGATTTTCAAGATTCACAATTCTCTAATTTTGCTCAAAATGCAAGAACTTTATCGCATTCAATTGATAAATTAAAGAGTCTTGAGACTCACAAAAGCGGTTTTTATGTGATTAAAAGTATTGGAAGTTGATATTATTGTCGCTAGCCAGCTCACTATTAGTTTTTAACGTAAATTTGATAATGTTTATATATTAAAATTAAATAAATTTTGATTAAAAAATATTGAAATTAAATGAGTTTCAATAAAAAAAATATTAAAATTAAATGATTTTTTTAAAAAGTATTAAACATAAAGTATTTCGTTTGCTTTTCTGAAATAGCTTTTTTGAAAGTCAAAAGATCTCATGTCACATAGTTTAGCAAGGTAATGTATAGATTGTTAGTAAATGATGTTGAGATACAAATAAGTCTCACATTGATAAAATAAGAGAAAAAATAATAATTTATAAAGTATACACATACTCCAATGACAGAGAGACCTTTTGGGTGATGACTATAAGCAAAAATTGTGAGGACTTAGTTCCAAAGTAGATAACATTTCATCATTATAAAGTATGTTTGTGTAATAACCTTATAAAAATAACCCTCATAAAATATTCCCTTAAACAAATATCATAAAATAACATCATCAAATGATTAATTTCTTGTAAGCTTGAGCATTTTGAGTGGAGTAATTCACTCAATATAAGTCAACTACAACAAATATGTTTTAGCTAATCAAAGGGGAAAAAATAACTTTGGACAAGTTCTTACCACTTAAAATTCACAAATTAGCTAGTAACATAATTTAACATTGTTGGTTTTAGCATCTAATATTGCTTTGTTGTAATATATTCATCACCAGTATGTTAACTTTTAATTTGACATTAAATTCCGATCATTTAATCTAATTTAATTTGGTGATTTTTATTCATTTATTAAAAATCTAATGTCCAATAAGATCATTATTATTGTTACTTCTACAACTATCACCCCTAATTTTTAAATATGCATACAATTTGTATTCAATTTAGACAATTATTAATATAATTTATGCTTCAAATTCTTGTTTTTAATCACAGAACACTTGATTAAGAGTTAATTTTATTTTAGGATTTAATTGTTTAAATATTTAATATTTTTAATATTTTTCTTTGTTGAGATATAATATAGGGAGAAAATAATTTAGAAGCAACAAGTCTCAAAGGGAAACTATCGCTCTAAGCCACATAGAAGACTTATTTTGAACTAGTGAAATTTGTTCAAAGCAACCAAATCTTAGCTCGAAGCGAGCCAAGTCAAAGAGCAACCCTGGAGATGATATCAGCTCGCTTAAAGCGAGCAAGTTACTTGCTCAAAGCAAGTGAAATTCATTCAGAGCTACCACAAGAGAGCTCTAAGCGAGTGAGGTCGAAAAGTACCCATGAAGGTTTACACAAGCTCACTCAAAACAATCTATATGGGTGCTTTAAGCAAACAAAATTCGCTTAAAGCCACCATAGAAGTTCTTTGAGCAAGCCAAGATAGAGAGCATCCTTATAGTTCGCACAAGCTCACTTAAAGCAAGCTACATGAGCATTCTAAGTGAGCATATTTAACCTAAAACCCCATTAAAAATGTTATAAAATAGGGTATCTAGGAGGTCTCTATATCAATACTTTTTTTAGCACAAATATAAAGAGATTGGATAGAACTCTTGTGAGAGCATTATTGGAATCACGATTGCTCAAAGATCCCTCTTTTATTGTGTAATCCTTAGTCATGAGTGGCTAAGTCTTTACTATTGAAGATTGAGGTAGCTACTGTACCCATGTAATTTCTCTGTGTTTTCATCCAATAAAGTCTTTATTCAGTTAATCATTTTATTATCATACTTAATACTTATTGTGACCTGATCAACTTCTGCATGATTTTAAAGTTTTTAATCGAGGTTGAAAATCCTTTTAAAATTACAACCTAGATAAAGTACTGATAACATTTATTACTATGGATAGGATAAACCTTATCAGTCGACTTTTGGTCTCTAATCTTAATACAGGTTGTTTAACAAAAATTACCAAGGAATTAGGATTTTCCTTAAACAACATAGAATTTCTTGCCTAAGGAATTAGGGTTTAAATACAAGCATGGTCTATCGAATTAATTGTATAATTTCAATATTGAATGGAAAATCAAGAGGATTTGCATGAAAAAAGTTAGTGAATTAATCTTTGACTATTCTTATTATAAATTTAAACTCTTCACAATTTATTGCTTTATTTTATTTTCACAAAAATTAATATTTCTTGTTGAACAATTCTAAATTTTCATTAAATCATTTGTTTAGTCCCAAATATCATTAAAGAATTATAATTCAAGTCCCTCTTGATTTGATAATTTAGACTTTTGTCCAATTTACTACTTACGAATAATTGGTATACTTGTCAAATACGTATGAAGTAAATGGAGTCATTTCTGGGGAAAAAGTGTTACTAGCTTACTCAACCAAAAACACTAAAACCACAAGGTTAATGATAAAATATTGCCTTCCAAATGAACTATTACAAGGGTATTGTAAAGGAGGACGCAAAAGGAATATACTTGTGGTGAAGGTATAAAACTTAAGCTCCTTTTGATCTATAGATTAATTACTTAGTCCATTTTTTGTTTATGTATATTTTTTTTGTAAATATTTTCCTCATTTTTGACCTTGTATTTGTGGTTAAGTAGTGTAGGAATTTATGTCCTTATATTTTTATTTTAGGGATGTAAATAGTAGTTTAGGATGGTGACATGAGTCACACTTTTCTTGCCTTGCCATGTGGCTAGCTCTTATTGGCCATTCTAAATCTAAGATTGTGACATTTGGAAGGAGCTTGTCCAAATTTGAATTTTGAACTAGGGTTAGTACTCTTGATTCAAATTAACCTAACTTAGGTTACACTTAACATAGGTCAACTTAACTTGCACCACGAGCTACCAAATCCTATATATACTTGTAACCTACATTAGGCATGTACTTTTGAGCTATTTGAAAATAAAATTCATAGTTGTTCTCTTTCAAAAGTCTTAGTTCTCTCTTTTTGAGAATTTCTTTATGAACTTTTATCAAAGAAATCCTCCTTATTGTGACAAGTTCTTCCTCTCTTTCTCATCTTCTCATTAAAGTGACATGCCTCACCTACTCTCCTCTTCCACTATTTAGAGTTTTTGAAGCTTTAGAATCCATGAAAAAAATTAGGGATCATCAAAGAAGCTAGTTGAAGAGATTCTCCAATCATCTCCAAGCTAGTTTTATCATAATGTGCTTGTTTGGAAATGAAAATTATATTGTATGTAACTTAAATGGGTGACTAAAATTGTACATATATGTTTACTATTAGTAAATAAATAATATAAATATAAATCAATACAAAAAATAGGAGTGGTCAAAGAACGGGTTGGGTTACGTTTAACCTTAACTTGTTCACAAATTTTGATTGGGTCAATTTTTAGACCCTAATCCATTCTTAGATCCGAATGAATCCAACGATCTACAAGTTGAATTAGATTTGAGTTTGTTTAAGATAAAACTAGTTTGACGTAAAATATAAGTAACATATGTTCTCACTTTTTATTAATGCAATTGAGATTTTAAGAATAATTTGTATTCTTCACTATACAAGATATCATGTTAACAAATATAAGGTCATGGTTGGGTCAGGTTATGTTTGCCTCTAACCTATCCCTAAATTTTGATAAAGTCAATTTTTTAGATCCTAATTTAAACTCAAATGAATCCAATAATTTACAAAATTAATTATGAAGGCTGGCTCAAGTCGAGCCACAAGGTAGATTTAGGTCTCATTCACGGCTCACCCTTGATAAAAAAGAAAAGAGAAAATAGATCATACACTAATAGTGTAACGTAATTTTATATTCATTATTCAATCACAAATTAACATTTATAATAAGTTGTTGACTTTTGTAATAAATAACTAAAAAGTTGTACTAAGGATGATATCTAATTAGTTGATAGTGTAAAACCACTTTAAATTGTTAGTGTATCACCATTAAACTCATAAAAAAAATAAAAAATATAATTAGTATATATTTATTAAAATCCAATATATATGAATATATACTAATCATTATTATTAATTTATATTAAAATTATATATTAATAAATTATAAATTATATATTAAATTTTGACAAGTATGAATCTAAATATTGCTAAAGTATAAATTAAACATTAAATAGTAATAAATACAATATTATTAATAAATAGTATATTAAATTCAAATACATTATAAAATAAATATTATTTAATACTCATAAATTAATAAATATATCATCATATTAATTATTGATAAATACATAATAATAAATATAAACCGATAATATTAAAATTAAAAATAATAAATTAATACTAATTAAAAATTAATATATATTTTTATTCATTGGAGTATTTTTTGTTGAATTAAAAAAATTAATATATATATATATATACACATAAATTAGTATACATTAATAACTTTGTGAAATTATACATTATTGAATATGATATAAATATCTAACAAGAAATTTAATTGAAAAATATGCCATAATTATATTTTTTTTAAGTGAAATATGAAGAAAAAAAATATTACATCAATAATAAATTAAATATATACTATATATAAAAGAGATAGTACTAGGGATGGTAACGGGGTGGAACGGGTAGTCAAGTACGAATTTGACTATTTTTGTCTCTTTCCCACACACTATACTCACCCTCGTCTCGATACCCGACAGGTGTGGAATTAGTGTCTCCATTCTCATTCCTGTCAAGTATTGGATATACTCATACTCATTTCGTATTTATCCAAAAATTAATTAAATATCTTTTTGTAAAAAAAATTTAAAAAGTTAAAAAAAGAACAAGAATTTTAACATAGAGTACAATTACAAAATTACATTACTTAAGTTTCATTTGACATAAATTTAAAATAGAGTAAAAATTTCATAAATGTCAAGTAAAATTTTAAGAAAATAAATTAAGTTTCTATAAATTTTAAGTAGATACTAATATAGGACGGA